CCGGGTCATGTGGACAACCTTTTTTGTGGAGAGGGGTAACGATAGTGGTGTTCCAAGGGTATACACCAAACTTAAGACATTCATTAAAGAGTTTTTGAATGAGTTTCACAACTTCGTCCGTCGATGTTTTGAGGAACTCATTAAGAATTCAGTCGATACCCGCTGCCTTTCCATTTTGTAAGCATTTGATGCCTTTCTTCATTTCTTCCTGGTCGATATCTCTGTTAAGGATTTCAGTGTCGATGATGATTTCACTTTCATCATTCAGTTTCACCAATTCGTTAGGTACTGTTTTGGTCTTGTACAGATCTTTAAAGAATTTATAAAAGTTCTCTATATCGAAGAGGTCAAGTACCGACTCTTCTTTATTGGCATCTTTAAGTTTATTGAAGTCCTTCCATGAGATATGCCCGTCTTGCAAGATGTCTTCATTGATTTCTTTGTAGAATAGGTATTTTTTATGCTTGATGAGACGCTTGTATTCCTTTTTCTTAGCGTAGTATGTATGTATGTATGTATGTATTTTGACACGGGGCAGCGCTAGACCCCATGTAGTGCCCTCAACCTACTTTTAGATTTGAGGGTCATAAAGGCGACAACAATGCCAAGAGGACAGCGCAGGCCGGTGCACTGTACAATTGACACGCGCGCGTAACAATAGAACTCGGATGGGTAATAGACCCCTCGAGTTTTGTCTCTTCGTGTTTTTGCAGGGAGTAGACAGTCGGCCCTGTGTATGTGTGGAAATTTATGAGATTGTGTTTTAGATGCGAATTAAGTGATTTTTGCGGCGTTTTTTGGTTGCTGCGAATTTTGGGCAGCCCGTTCCAGGGAACCACCTGCTCCGCGTCGCGGGGGGCTGTACCAAAATTCGAGCGTATACGGTGCTAAATCTGTCTACGAGGGTGACGCATCTTGAATAGCAATAGCAGTTTTGTCGGTAATGAGTTTAGGAAGTTTCCGATCCAGGTAGCTTACCTGCTCCGCATCGCGGGGGACTTTCCTATGATCATTCGCCGCGCGTTATTTTCATTATGTAAGCGTCCATTTGGATGTCATGTTTTCTAATGCCCGCTCGCGCGCGTACGATACTGGTTTCCATGGTGATGAAGTCAGTGAGTCATAGTTTGGATTGATTTACAATTCATAATCGCCGATGAAATTTAATAGCACCGTTAGGTCCTTTTTCTTGGTACGCGAAATGAAGCGCATTAGTTGGTCGATTGTTATTGGGTCTTCTCCGAATTTTTCCATGCGAACCCTGGCGAAGTATACACAGTCGCATATGAGGTGCATAGCTGTTTCATGTATGTCTTCTTCGCAGAAACTACATTGTGGTGCAGTTGTATAATCAATTTTGTTTTGAAAATGGTTGAGGTTGTTGTGACCTGTTATGAGTCTAGTAAAAGGTCTGAGGACGTCAAAACCTAACTTGAAGAGATGTTGACCTTGGAGATTATGGTTCACGATTGCTGAGACCAGCTCTTTAGTGTTATTACTTATGTTGCAGTTATGCCAGTTCTTGTTCGTCTTGTCTCTGATGTGTTTATGTATCTTGTTTTTGAAGAAAGTGTGAGGAATGGGCGGCTGTTTTGTTGAGAGAGTTGGGTTAGGCTCAACAACTCTAATGTTTGCTAGCTTGTCTGCTAGTTCGTTTCCGTAGTGGTCTTTGTGTCCTGGGACCCACTCTATCATTATATGGTGAGTTGATGCTGTGTCGTTTAAGCTATGGTGAAGATCGATTATGGTCTTATTGATCGAGTATGGGTTCGAGAGTGCTTTGATAAGTGCTTGTGAGTCTGAGTAGATTATGACTCTGTGATCTGAGAGAGAGGGAGATGACAAGATGTCATTTAGTAGGAAGCTTGCCCTTAGGAGAGCGTGAGCTTCGCATTGGAAGACAGTGTGATACCGTTCCATGGTGTAATTTTCGGTCATCCATGTTTCTGAATCCATAAAAATGGCTACCCCGTAACCTGTGGTTTCATCTGCGTGTTTCGATCCATCTGTGTAAGTTGTGATTATGTAGTTTAGTGGCTCGAGAGGAATCATGTCATGTCCATTTATTTCTAGTGTGTAGTTCTTCTGGCTGATGTCTGTTGGTTTGGTTAGGTCATTTTTTTGGTGGTCGTAGTTTGTGAAGATCGTGTTAAGAATGCGGTCAATTATGATATAGCATGGCTCGAGAGATTTCCGCACGGTGTTATCCACTTGAAGGTTCGGCCAGTGATCAAGACTTTTGAGGCGGATCGCTTGGAGAAGAGATGTTTTCTCAAGTTCGAGAGAGGCTGGGAGTTGTGAAAATAATGTGTGTAGAACATTCTTGGACGACGTGCGCCTGGCACCTGTTGCCATTAGTAGTGTTAGGTTCCCTGTACGGTCAAGTCGTTTCATCAGAGATTTGTTATCTAGTAATCTGGGAGCCCATGTAACGCAGGCATATGTCATGATTGGTTTGATGATAGAGTTAAATACCCAGCAAATCTTGTCCGGGCTCAACCCCCACTGTTCGCCGATCATTTTGCGTGTAGCAAAGAGGATGTTAGTGCATTTCCTGGCAGTTTGGTGGACGTGTTCGTGCCAGTTTAAGCGACTGTCTAAGTGAATACCGAGGTATTTTACTGTATTGCAGAATTCAATATCTAGGCCTTTTAATCTTATCTTGGGTGGGAGGGTGATTTTGTATTTTCTGCTGAAGATAATAACTTGTGTTTTTATTGCGTTTAATTTGAGTCCATTATTTTCGCACCACTTATTACATGTTGTGATGTAGTGCTGGCCAAGGTCTCTAAGTGTGTTTAGACAGAACCCTGAGAGAATAATGGCTAGGTCATCTGCGAAGGCTAAGAGGTTCTTCAAGGTGTCTAGAAGAATGATTAGAGAGTTGAGAACTATGTTCCAAAGAAGAGGTGATAGAACTCCTCCTTGGGGTGTACCAGCAAGGATCCATATGATGAGGGCAACCCCTTTGAGGTTAAGTTTCATTTTCCTAGTAGTTATGAAGTGAAGAATCCAGTTACTCACGTTGCCCTTTGCTTTCGTTTTTTCTAATGCTTCTTTGATGGCAGAGAATGGAATATTGTCGAAAGCCCCTTGGATGTCGAGAAAGATACCCAGTGAGTAGTTCCCTACTTTTAACGAGGTTTCTACCAGTGATACTAGTTTCAGAATTGCTGATTCAGTGCTGCAGCCTTTGCGGAAGCCGAATTGTTTGGGGGAGAGTGATACTTCGAGTTTGAGGTCCCTTTGCAGGTGCCAGAGAATGAGACGTTCCATTAGTTTAAGAGTGCAAGATGAGAGTGTGATGACGCGGAAAGATTTTGCTGAGAAGTAATCATCTTTACCTGGTTTAGATAAAATTGCAGAGTTTGAGGTTTGCCAGGCCTCGGGTAGGCGCCCGCAAAATAGCGAGAGTCTAAAGATATATAGAAGGTGTACCCTGATAATCTCGTATGCTTCGCTAAGGATTTCGTTGGTAATACTGTCATGGCCTGGAGCTTTGTTGTTTTTTAGTTCTTTGATAGCATCGTTCATGCGTGAGAGCGAGATAATTGAGTTCAGTTCATCCGGTGATAGGTAGTCCTTACAAGGGTTCAGTTTGGAGCGGTCAGGAGCCGTGTTAGTGAAGAGAGTTGAAGAAAGAAGTTCTAAGGTTTCTTTCGGGCTTTCAGTGTAAGAGCCGTCGTATTTGCGGAGAGAGCTGAGATTTGTCGTTTTATTTCCCATAAGTGATTTGCATATTTTCGCGACGTTTTTGTTTTTCTGTAGACCAGAGCAGAAGGTTTGCCAGTGAGCGTTGGATTCTTTGGTTATGAGCGAGTCCAGTGCTTTGTGTGCTTCTTTGTATGAAGAATGAAGATCCGTGTTCAGGGGGTCATTTTCGTGGTTGTTTCTGGCTAGAACAAGGTTTTGTTCGGCCTCAGTAAGTTCGTTCGACCACCATGATAACTTTTTCTGGTTGCGAATGAACGTTGGTGGGCAGGATTTTCTGAAGCACGAATTAAGTATATCGTTGAGGCGGTATACTATGGTGTTGAGATAATGGTAGTCTTTGTTGTAAATTGAATTGTATGGTTGAGCTTTCAGTCTTGCTAATACAGGGTCAGAATCTGTTTCACTTTTTAGGGTCGATCTGAATTGAGACCAGTCGCATTTCTTTTTATTTAGAGTACGGATAGGGCGCGTCTTAATATTGTTTTTGTCTAGGTTTATGACGAATTCAATGAGCACGTGGTCAGATACGGAAAAGTTTGGGTTGGTATCCCAGAATTCGACTGGTGGGGCGAAGTCGTTTCGGAGCGTGAGATCAATGGCTGTTTCTTGGTTGTTTCGCTTGAAAGTGAATTTGCCGTTGTTGAGCCAAAGTAGTCCGGTTTGGGCCAGACAATCAAGGAGTTTAATACCGCGCGTGTTGGTGGTTTTGTTGCCCCACAATGTGTGGTGCGCATTGCTGTCCGTACCGATTATAAGGCCATGTTTGTGAGTGAGACAGTGCTCAGCTAGTTTGATAAATTTCTCGGGGGGTTCACTAGATGAGTTGGTCTCCATGTAGACGCTGGATAGATATAATTTTGATGTGGGAAGTTCAATAGAACATGTTGATATGTCCCGCCCGGAGAATTGTTTTTGGAAGAAAAATTGATTTGCAAGGTTGTTAGAAATTGTCAGCGTTGCTCTGGGATTTGCAAGATCAGGGGCTGAGTGGTAGAATGTAACGCCGTTTCCAGGGGTGTGTTTTGGTTTACCTTTATAGCAGTATGGTTCCTGCACAAACGTGATGAAGGGAAGATCGTCATTCTGTTCTATGCTTTGATAAAAATGAGCCGTAGGGATCGCGGAGTGGTGAAGGTTGATCTGTGAGCATGGTATATAGTTCACGGTTGATTCGGGGATTCGGTTAGTGTTTGTTCGTTTTTTGGGATTTAAAGAATTAGGACCACTAACCTGAAGCTGACTGTGTACCACCATCACTACCTTAACTAAGCAAGGTAGGTTGAGAATAAGTGTTATACGGGAGATGTAAATAGATTGTGCTAGTTTAAATATGTATAAATGCATTGATGGAGACTGAACTGAATTGAGGTAAGGAGTGAAGAGGAGACAGAGAATAATACAACTTGTTGATCGATAAAGTCGATAAGTTAAGATTGAATTGTAACGAAAATTTTACAAGAGAACTTGTAAAAAGTCCAATTATCACATAACAGTTTATTATATTTTTATGTAAAAACAAGTAACAATGAAATATATCCATCACTTGATGGGGGGATGCACACATAAATAAGTTTCATTCATTCCAGTTTGAGGGCGAGTAATTATTGCAGGGATGATGTTGATAGTGAATTTACAAGATCTTGAGGAGAGTTGTCTGTAGTAAGTGTTGGTGTGGTGTCCCTTCGTTCGCCGTATTCCTGTAACTTCAGGGTGCATCCCAGAAGGGATATGTTCCATCCAAAGTATAAGAAATAGCACTGGGCTTTATAGGATAAGAATATGTAGCAAAGGTGATTCCTAGTATCCTTAATTTTCTTCGGGGGTAACGCAGTTCGGACATCGTTTGGTTCTAAGAACCACCCGGTGTGCGCACGAATCAACTCGTTCAGTGAGTTGTCTTCAACGAATTCGTGGCACACCGAGGGAACAAACACCCAGAAAGTTTTGCCTTCCTGTGTGTTCAGGTCCTCCGTGGTCAAGACCTTCCAAAAAGGCATGTTAGATAAGACCCGCTTAATGGCCTCTGCAGCCTCAGGCACTTCTGATGTTAGTTTCATCTTACCGGACTTAAGGTCCGAGAATTTCGAGGTGAATCGAAAATCAATTGTGAGGTCGCCATTTCTCGCAAGAGTCAGAAAGTTCTTCATCATGTCAGATTTCAAGGCGTCGCTTTCATTCTGAGAGATTGGGCGGTAATCCGATTTGTGGATCCATATAGGATATAGTTTCTTGTCAGTATTACTTTCCAATTTCTCTAGTTCTTGCTGTTGTTGAGGTATAGATTCAGCAAGCATGTCTTGTATCAGCTGGTCTGAGAGCTCTATCTCGTTCGGATGATTCGTGGTTGAAGGTCCCGCATCAGGAGGTGTTTCCGTGAGTGGGGCAGCCCCCATGAGATCTGCAGTCGTCGAGGTGGTGGGTGCTTGTTCTAGGTTGTCTTCCTGAACGCAGGGGGATGCAGGAATGTCTGCAGGAGTTACTTGTTCAGATCCCTTGGTTTCTGAGGATAAAAATGCGTTGGTGTGTGTTTAACCATCAGGACTAATTTTGATTTGTATGGGAGGTTAGGCTGCCTTGATTACAACATTTTCGGCTGTGTTTTGGTCGGCTTGAGATTAAAAATTATAAGAAAAAAGAATAACATGAGTTGTAATTTTAAGAGAGAAGGTCACTGGCGTGTGAAGTTAATGACTTAGTGGACATACCTGGTTCGGGGATAATTTCTGCTTGGGTATGTGTCTCAGTCGCGTGAAAAGTTTCAACTACCTCGACATCTGGCGGACCTTTAGACTCGTGTGACTTGTGTTTAAAGCGTGGCAGTTTAGTTGGATCTGAATTGAGGGAGATTATTTTAGCTTGAATAATATAGTTAGGAATCAAGTTTTAGTAGTGGTGGATAAAAAGAGTAAGGTAAGGGGTGTAGAGTACTAACCGAAGTGGTCAAGCAGATTTGCCGGGGATTTCTTAGCGTAGTACTCAATGCGTATAACATCGTTTCTAGGCTGTTTTCCATATTTTCTGGCAAGCTTGTTGACTTCTCGTTTCAGTATAATGCATTTTGCATCGAACCAGCGATTTTTGGCCTGAATTCTTGGCTTGCGTTTCTTGGTGATATGATTTTTTCGGGGACTCTCTACATCTTTGTTGATGTCCACAAGGAGTCTGGTTAATCTAAGGTTAAGACTGTGGACGTCTTCTTCAGAATGACATGCTTCGTCAACAAGGTCAGAGATAGTTTTAAGCGTACTTAGCTTAAGGAGCCTTGCTTTGTATTCTTTTGCTGATTGCTCACCATTCCACTGCACCTTTTCTTGTACATCATCATAAAGGTTGAGAGCTGATTCTGAGTCTATTATTTTCTGAGTTGATTTCAAAGAGCACAGCAGCGGCCGATGGTCTGATAGGTCGGAGAGCTCAAGGGCTTTGAAATGTTTGATTACATGTCGTGTGTCATTTGATAATGCCATATAGTCCACAATACTAGTTCCATTGTATTGGTGTGACGTCGACTCGCCAAATATGTCACCTAGAGTGGATCCATTTAGGATAGACATATTACAGCTCTGAATTAAGTCTAGAAATTTTTTACCCCGGTCATTGATGACAGGGTCCCTGCTTGCTCGTTGTTTGTGGTAAGAAGGGTAGGACTCGATTTGACCTGTTGTGAATTCGTCATTGCAGGGTTGAACCGCTTCATCTGCGTTAAGGTTACCTGTTCTTGCGTTGAAGTCCCCAACTAGAAGTATCGCTTTGGTCTTAAGTGACGCAATGAATTCAAGAGTATGCCCCATTGTGTCTACATCCGAGCCCAAGGCGAGCTTTTTTATTTTGTAAGATGAGTTGGGAGGAGAGTCATACACATTTATAAGCATTAGGTCCTTGCTGAGCCCAGTAGCTGTAGTTGAGATATTTACAGCCAAGATGTCTTGTGATTCACACATAATAGGCCTCACAAATTCACTAATAGATCTGTGAACACCGATACAGAGACCGCCTGATCGTGAGTCAGACCTTAGTTTGTTAAAACATTTATACTGGGGAAGCTCGACATTCCCTTTTGTTTCTTGGAGGCAGAAAATTAAACCGCTGGTTAGAATTCTGGTGAATTCATTTTGATCCGTTTTCTTCCCTAGGGTTTGGTGATTAATGTCGTGAATATTCCAGGAGAGGATCGACAAATCACAGTTTTTGTATTCTACCTCACTATGCCTTTTCTTGTGATTGTTATTCATGTAGTGAATCGTTCCGTAGGGTTCTGTTGTTTGTTTGTTTTGATGGTGTTTGGATTCCTACCGAGCGCTGCAGACTGTCTCTGAGACGTAGCCAAAGCCTAGATTGTCCACGTTCACTAAGTTGGATACTTGCTTTTCCATTGTCGTTGATTTTTCTTTCTATGTTTCCTCCTAGAGAGTCATTGTTGGTTGTAAATAGGCGATCCTTGTACTTGTGGGAGGTTCTTTCGCAGGATATAAATTCCTTTAAGGTGTTGTTGATCTGCCGTAGTCTACTATTGGTTTCAGGGTATCCTGGTACTGGTATCATAAGCGAAACACATAGTTTGGTTGAGGTATTCTTTAGAACATTGTAAATAATCTTTTTAAAGTTATTTGTTATGGTGTTGCCTTCTGTATTACACAGCACGTCACCGAAACCAACGTGAATAACTACAGTTTCTGGTTTGACTGCCTTGATCCGTGAAATCAGATTTCCGTTCTTGATGGTAGATTCAGCAGATTTTTCTTTTACACGGCTGATGTCAAAGACTCGTGAGAATTTGTCTTGCTCGAATTTGTCAAAGTAAGCATCATGCACAATGAGACATTTGTGTGTATTGAACTTTTTGCTTTGACTACTCTTTGGTCCTGTAAACGGAAGATTAGCTTTGCAGTTGGTTAGGATGTTTGTTTTCCTCAGCTGGTACTTTGTCTTAGGATTGGGAATATATATTTTACTTTTATTTAATGCTCTCAGTGTTACCGCCTCAAGATGTAATATTTCTGACCTGTTTTTATGTTAACATCCCATACGGCTTTGCATATAATCTTCCACAAACTCGGGGTTGGTCATTGATGGTTGTTACTCGTCTAAATTTCTTCGAAGTAGCGCGCGCCGCTTTCTTCTCGAAATGTTATTGGCCTGATGGCAAGTGCTACGAAGTAGCGCGCGCCGGAACAGATTATTAACAATGGTCAACGTTTGTCAAACCATGTCCAACATCAATAATCAACAGTCACATCAAGTAATAAAGAGGAGCAAGAGGGATAAAAAGTGGTAGCGCTGTTAAAATATCAGAACTAGATATAAATTTAGATACAAATTGAACTGGCTACTTCTACTACTTAAAGGATTTTTATAAAATTTACTAAGATTTTTTATGGAATTTCATATTGAATTTTTATATAGGGTCAATGCTATATTATGTGTATATTGTATGAATTTTTCTCATAAAGTAATAAATAAATTTGTCTCCTTAAATGTAAGGGGAGCCATTTCATATCTCGATACACATTTACTGTTCACGCCAATTAACATTAATAGCAATTTTTGCTAATTTGTTTGTACAAAATATTGAGATAATCAAATTGAGGGAGCATAAGAGCATTTACAAACATTTTTCTATATTTCAGTGGAAGGAAATTTTTAGACCTATATGATGCTCCTATTCTTCTAGAAACTTTTGATTTCACATAATAAATATGGTCCTGAAAGTTTAATAAGTTGTCTATCATGAGACCTAAGTATTTCTGAGATTGGGTTTCTTCTATGTGAAGACAGTCATTTTCCAAATCAAGAGGGATTGACAGCCTGTCAAGATTAGGACATTTGTCAATTTATACTATGAATGAGGACTTTGCAACATTTAGTCTTAGCTTGTTAATTCTAAGCCATTTATACACAATTTTCATATCTTCTATTACATTGTTGTATAAGCCTCTAGAAATATTATCTAAATATAGTGCACTGTCATCTGCAAATAAGTAAGCAGTACACTGTGTGCAATTACGACTGAGATAATTTATGAATAGACTAAGGAGAATCGGACCTAATATGCTGCCCTGTGGCACACCTGTGTTTACAGGAAGCAGTGTACTTACATTACCACGTATTTTGGTGCACTGTTTTCTGCCTCCCAGGTAGCTTTCAAACTACTTAATGACAAAGCCATCCATGCCATAATACTTGAGTTTTTTCAATAGAATGTTATGGCTAACAGTGTCAAAAGCCTTTTTTATGTCCAAGAATACAATTGCAGGTTTCTTCGATGATTCCTTAGACATAATATTTTGTCAAATAGATTAAGCGGACGAAATGATCCCAGGGGGGACTTCCAACCCACCGCCTCGGCGGGTAGTTGATACACCTTTCACAAGCAAGAGCCACTTTGGTCTACTTGCTGTGAGGTGTCTCAGCTACATGGGTTGGGGGTCCCCCCTTTAAAAAAAGAAAAAAAGATTAAGCATAAGGAAAGTGGTTGAATGGTCTTTCCTAAATCCATACTGATCATGATGGTTGGTTAGTAGTTGGTTTTTGATAATTGAAGTTACTGCTGCAATTTTACACATGCCACGGGTATAATTCCATTTTTCATACTACGATTTACTTCGTGAGCTACTGGTTCAATGATTTCAGGAAAAATATACTTATATACTTTGACCGGCATAATTTTTATTGTATATTGGAGTATTCAGTTTGTTTGTACATTTGGAGTCTATAGAATTTCTATAAAATGTTTATAGAATTTTTGATATTTTAGGGAATTTCATTTTTATTACCTGATTTTTATTTTTGATAGGCTGATGTGTTTCATGCTGCGATTTCTTGTAGTCATCATCCTTTCCTCAAGTCCTCTGTTAGAAAATCTGTTAACCCTTCTTGGATATCTGCTTGTTGCAGCTGCCTTATTTACAGTTAAATCAACGCCTGTTAACTGAACAGTTTCTTGTTTCACTTCCGTCTAAGGCACACCCTTGTTACTTGTTAGTTTAAAGGATGAGGGGACCTTAGAATTTACTTCCAAATATTCGCGTTTAAGTCCTGTGAAAGTGTGTAGAATCAAAAAATACGCCGGACTGTGAAATCGATAATTCGTGCAATATCACGCCGCGCTCCTATTGGCTGATAGCAATTTTGGGCTGTGACGTCACTTATGTGTTAAGACCAACGTGCGCGCACACCCTTCGCTCGTGTCAACATTTTGTTCTGTTCTCATGTTTTAATTACGTCGTGTTACCTTTGGCGTTTGCGAGAGCGGTATCTTTGGTTGCACTGAATTAGTCTAAGTTTGAAGTTACGAATAATTCTCATTAATAGTTAAATGTAACTCAGAAAGGCTTTCTTCTAGTTGTAGTAGGTATTTCTATTTATAAATAGCTAAGATAAGTAGCATTCGCTAGCTAAACCACAAACTGCTATTTTGTTTTGACTTGTTTGAAACCCGATATGGACACAATCTAAAAATCGATTGAATGTATGATGTAGTAGAAGACATTTTACTAGCTGGCCCTTGGCGCCTCTAGTCCTATCTGAGTGCGCACGTGCGGTTTGACACTGAGCGTGTACCGGCCTTTAGTTGTACACTCATTTATAATTTACCGTTTTAGTTTGCTGTGACTTGAGTGTAAAGCGTAACGAATGTGGATGTGTTCGTCTGCTATGCTTGGTATAATATTGTTTGGTGTAATAGTTGCAAATCTTGCTTACGTCATAAGTAGTGTCTCATAGCGAGTTAGAACTTAAAAGCTTGCTGCTTGGTGCTTGTCCAACTGGAATGAAGACATGCATTTCATACCTACCCGATCCATTTTTATTAGGACCGTGTTGTGTTGATATGACATGTTGATATATCAACTGTGATACAATACAGGGAGTTGCTAGGTGTTACGTTGGGAGCTATAAATATACATAATTTACATGCCTTTCTGTGTGACTTCAATCTTATTTCAGGTGTATCTCGGCTCATGGTTATCGTAGGGTGATAATTCTTTTTTCAACCGGTCATAAAAAGTCTCCTCTCCATTGGTTATAGGCTCGTTAGTATCGTAAATTGTTAATGTATTCTTAATTAGTAATTAGTCGGCCCGCACGCTCATTTTACCTGTATTTCTATATGCGCGGATCAGAGCAACTCACATAATTGACGTCACAGGTTCAAATTGTTTTGGCTGGATATCTCGGCGCGCGAATGAAATACAACTTTGCGGATTTCACTAAAGTGGTTTTTATGATTAATGTAATAAAAGGATTTGCACGAGAAAAAAACTTTTTCTAAGGTCCCCTCATCCTTTAAGTGTCATTTACAGCTGACTTGTTCTACAGTCACCTCTTCGAAAACAGAGAGTTTGCACTCTATTGGAGGTGCCATATATTCTAGGAAGTTGTCCGAGTCCTTAACCTTAATAGACTCTTGTATGATTGTTCCAACTGTGGCAAAATGTAGATTGACTCCGTTGACATTTAAGTTGCTTGAAGAGGACTTAGTAATTTGTCCAGGTAAGTTTGAAGCGTGTTTGATAGTTTTCCATATACATTTTAAATCATTTTTTGCTCTTTTTACAGTAAGATCTTGGACAATATTAGTGCGTCTGTTTTCTCTAACATAATGGTAACATAATTCCTTTGGAATTGATAAGTTTCCCAAGAGTTTATACATTTTTTATGCAGTTAACTATTCCTGCATTTACATAAGCCATTAATACATTTACACATGAATTTATCAATTTTTCTCTAGCAACTTTTTATACTTTTTGAATAGCATTCTCTTTTTCCTTATCCTGTCAGCAGTTCTTTGGAAGGCTCGAAAAGAAAATTGTTATTACATTTTATCTGTTTAGGTGGACAGAAATTATCATATATGAATCTTGGATGTGACGATTTAGTCCATCTATAGCATGGTCTACATTGCATTAGTACAACTATATTGCTGTAATTACTGCAGGCACCCAGGAAATAGCTTAGCTAGGGATTTGAGATTGTTAAGGGATTGATCTCTAATAAGGACCTTTTGGAATTAGCTAGCTTTATTAACTTTAAAGTCAAGAGTACATTTGAGAGCCTGATGATCTCCTATTCTGTCTTCAAAGCTTCAAGCACATTCTATGAAATTTGAGTAGCAATTTGTCATGATGACATCAATTCTGCTTAAGCAGTTACAAATAATATGTGAATGGCAGCAAAATTTTTGTCATCAAAAAACGAATTTATTCAACGAAATTTTTGTAAATTGTTTTGAGCAATTAACCCCCCCCCCCCCCCCTCTGGCCTTAATTGGTGCGCTGACTCCTGCTCAGTCGTTGTCATTGTCTTCAGTTTATAGCTATTTCCACCCAGGTAGGTATGGCCAGCCTCATTAACATCCATGTCCACATACACTGTGGGGCTGCGGCCCCCTGAGTTCATCGACGCAAAAGTTAAGGAATTGGGCGGCAAGTCCGGATTCTGGCGTTGCAGAAACTGGAAAATTTGCAGATCCGACTGGCCCCGAACCATCAAGGGTTTATATAATTTCATAGTGTGACGAAGTCAACTACACTGCCTTTTAATGGGGCCAAGCTAATATTTACCAATATTCTCAAATGAAATGAAAGTGTCCATATAGTAGATGTTTTACTGCAACAATAAATACTTTTAGGTATTATGTTTAATGATATTAATATTTTCAGCATCACTTAAGTAAGATATGATCCCTAGTTTATGCTGGATTGCCCGGGGTTTAGCTGCAGAGGAGCCTGCTGTGTTGAAGTTAGATTCAGAAGAACTCAATCATCTCATCGAAAAAACCAAGCAAAATCTGGAAATAGTGGACGGCCCTGATGGAGTTGATAGTGATGAAGAAGTTGAATCATCTGTAGACAATGCTGCTGAGCAAATGTGCAACAAGATAAATGAGGATGACGAATTTAACATGGCAGGTTATGACGAGGAAGAAGAAATGGATGGTCAAAGAATATTTGGTGCAGGATTGAGTGGAGTGACATATTATGCAAATCCTGAGGATGATCCTTACATAACATTCCCTCAAGCAGCAAAAGACGAAGAAGAAGGTTATGGCATAAAACCAACAGACAATCTAATTTGCTGTGCGAAGCTAGATGGTGAAATGAGCAACATTGAGGTTCATCTCTGGAATGAAAAAGAACAAGATTTCTATGTGCATCATGATATATTGTTAGATAAATTTCCATTATGTGTAGAATGGTTAAGTTTTGATGCTGGGGATCAAGAAGAAATTGAAGGGGACAGAGCTCCAGGAAATTACATTGCTCTTGGCTGTATGAGCCCTCTCATTGAAATTTGGGATATTGACATAGTTGATACGTCAGAACCAGTGGCTGTTCTTGGACAAAGGTTAAAACATTCTAAAAAGAAGCCCAAAGTTGGTAAGAAAGGTCACAGTGATGCCGTGATGAGTCTCAGCTGGAATAAACTTACTCAGAATATTATTGCATCTGGGAGTGCTGATTGTAGTATTCTTTTGTGGGATTTAGAAACAGGTTCTGCTAAAGAATGCCTAACTCATCACAAAGATAAGGTACAATAATAAAGTTTGCCTAAAATTACCAAATATTGATTAATCAAATTAAATTAACAAACAATTTCATTGAATTTATATCCAAATAAACTGTTGCACCTTGTAGATAATCTTAGTTGAGAACATTGTGTTTTTTTTGCAGGTCCAGACACTATGCTGGCACTTAGCAGAGGGCACAACTCTCCTATCTGGAGGCTATGATAACACATGTCAGGTAACAGACTGCAGAACAAAAAACAGCAAGTCCTGGACAGTTGATGGGGAAGTAGAGCATTTAATGTGGGACGTCTCAAATCCCTTTTCTTTCTTAGCAGGCACATCAAATGGTAGTGCTTTGTGCATTGACATCAGACAAGAAAAGCCTCTGTATACCATTGCAGCCCATGATAATGAAGTGTCTGGATTAGCCATGACTAAACAAATTCCTGGCCTTCTGGCGACCTGTAGTGCTGATAGGACTGTCAAGGTATGGCAAATTTCTGATAACAGACCCAGTTGTGTGACGTCACGTGCATTTCCAGAAGCAGGTTCCTTGCATTGTCTTTCGTTCTGTCCTGATTACGCTACAATGCTGGCAATAGGGGCTCTGGAGGGAGGACTACTAATGTGGGACATTGCTTCCAACAAAGAATTCAGGGAGGCATTCAATCACCCTGCAGTAGATGGTTCTTAGTTGAATGAGGTTCCACAACCTTTGAATTGTGGGTTTTCGGATCTTTTAATTTATTCGTTTAATGACCTTTCTGTTGTTGCAAAATTTATAACTTTCGGTTTAGTTCAATCAATATTGTTTTATTTAGCTACAACTGCTACATATAATTATACACAGGGGGGGGGGGGGGGGGGGTTGCACATACGTTGGCCTTTATAGGTTAGTCACTCAATGCCCGATTGAAATAAATCTTTTTGGTATGACTTGCTATCACCACTCGAACTCATTCGAGGAATATGTCAAATCAAACAATATTTGAATGTTAATTTTTTTCGAATGAAGGTTCATTTTCGCATTTATTTGATAGATTGAATAATCGGATCGAGTTAAATTGTATGGAATTGTGTTTGGCCGGCCATTCAAATTACATTTTCCCTAAAAAATGAGAGTTCTAGCTTCTCAAATGACCGAGATAGGAAGCTTAACGAGCTTATTCATTAGGTATGATCAGGTGATTGGTTTACCTAATCACGTGATCAGGTGATTGGTTTACCTAATCACGTGATCAGGCGATTGGTTTACCTAATCACGTGATCAGGTGATTGGTTTGCCTAATCACGTGATCAGGTGATTGGTTTACCTAATCACGTGATCAGGTGATTGGTTTACCTAATCACGTGATCAGGTGATTGGTTTACCTAATCACGTGATCATGTGATTGGTTTACCTAATCACGTGATCAGGTGATTGGTTTACCTAATCACGTGATCAGGTGATTGGTTTACCTAATCACGTGATCAGGTGATTGGGCACTATGGGAATCGTGAAAGGGCCCAATTACGGTGTTGTAGCACGAAATCACATGACTACCCAATCAATTTTGCTAACGAGATAAACGAATTGCTCGATAAATTTGTCATTTTGTGTCCGTTTGGCGCCATCTTTTCAGATCAAATTCCAGTTAAATTACCAATAACAATATGTTACAATGAATTTTCTAGCATGTTCGCAAACACGAGTATAAGCAATTCAATGTGGATTGGGTGTGGCCCCTAAAAACCGAATTTTCAAATTTTGGCGACAGAATCCCCGAATGAGCAGGTACAGTATGACATCTGCAAAGCAACAAGTCTCAAATATGAAATATGGCGGTCGGCGGTGGTATAAGACCCAACGTATGTTTACCGACTTTTGCCCCCCCCCCCCCCCCCTGTATTAAAATTGAACATAACACAGTTAAATCCAAAGTACAGGTTTACCTTATTATTATTATTATTTACCTTATATCCTATATTCACAGTGACTGATTAGCGTAAAAATCCTTCCGTTTATGATAAAAATACACCTTTTGGCTTTTACAAATATAAATATTTATAATATAAGGCACATACCTACTACAGTAAAGACTACATGTTACCATAGTTACCCCGATATACCGCAAACCCTGATTTTAAAAATCAATACCCCGATTTACTGCGCCCTTTACATTTCCCCCAAACTCTGCGGTTAATCTTTCTGCACCGTGATAGTTATGGAATGAAAATACTCAAACTGAACCAGAAATGGAGGAGTCAGAAACAGGATATGAGAAGTTACAGCTTTACTCTGAAACAAGGAAAAAGCTTGATGAACTTTACAACGACACTATACAGGTTACATGACGTGATTGTTTCAACTTTTCAAATTTTCTTCTAAACTGTCTACCGTTGCAGTAGGCAATGCTGAGTGGCAGGAATGAGCGACCAAAAGGCTTGGGCAGTTCGCGATTGCCAAAACATTTCTATGGACAGGAATCAAACACGCTATTCGAGAACATTCCACCTATTACCAACTTCTTACCATGTCTATCGAATGAAATATCTAGAATCTAGATTTATATATATTAGCGACAAGAGAAACGCCATTGTCGGACGTGAGGAGAGTGAGGGCTCCTCAACTACATTAAATAAATTCCTTCTGTAACGTCCTGAATAAATATAGCTACGAAAACAAAATTTACTAATCATTTTATTATATACTAGAAACCCGCTAGTCGAAAGCTTTGTTCGAGGAAATTTGAAAAATAATATATATATATAATATGTTTAAATTTCTCTAATCTCTTCATCATCCAGGTCTAAGCTCTGTACTGTAGAAAGTATGGATTTTTTGACAATGACGACAAAGTTGTTTTACCGCATCAAAATATATCAATCACAACCTAAGTTATGAATAGTTAAAGCGTGAGCGTAAATGTGAGCTAGTCATGACGTATCATAAGGCATGGCAACGCGTGTTGCTAATCTGTTCTTGCTCTCGCACGTGCAATCTCTTGATGTTGATTATAAAAAATCTAAAGCCTAAATCAAAATTATAAGAATGCTGTCTCGTATTCCTGTCCTTTTTCTAAAAATCGCGAGGTTCCAACTCCATTTGCGAGCTGAAATTGGTCAGGAAGAAGGGTCGGTTTTTTGTCAATTTTCAGTGTTTTTTTTTCTATGTCAAGTTTAAATTATAATATAGTTGTGCATGATAAAGTAGCCAGCTCTGTCCTATGTAGCTTATCGTGCTGTATCTTATTTTTTGCACTACCAAAAATAGATAAAAATAAACTGGTTTTTTTTCAGTGTTTCATGGACATTCATTCCGATAGCCTTTTAAAAGACAGAAGCAATATCTTCATGAGTGATATGGAGAAGAACGATATTCGTGATGTTATAATTGGCGTCCCAACATTGTATTTCGTTGGTGAGTACATATAAAGTTTCCGTTGTCAATTATTGTTGAACTTTAGACTATTAATATAGAAGTTGTACCGTAATCTAATCATGATAATGAGTTATCTGCCAGGTCAAGTTAACTGTGGTAAAAGTAGTGTTATAAACGAACTGCTGGGAAAGACAGTGTGCCCAGCCTCCCAGACACCCAGCCTTCACAGACCTGTCAAGCTGCAGTACGGTTCAATTCCTTTTGTCAGACTCCTCAACAAGGCTAGCAAAGAGGTCAGCTCATGATGTTTACTTCTTCTCTTTGATAACAGAAAGTATAAAATGTTCCAACTTTCTTTACCCTTGGAACACAAACAAGATCAAACTAGCACAAAATGTTCCCTCCTAGATAGCAGGTACGTACAAAAGACTAGAGAAAGCAATCCCTCGGGAGTATTTGGAGAGTGATTCTGATTTGTCAGCCGAGTACCCCAATGAGATGGTAGAGGCGTCCATTAACCACCCGCTTATGAAACAGGTAACACGTGAATGTTGCATTTCGATAATGCTTGCCACAATAATACTGTATAATAATCGTCTGAAGTCAATTGAATGTGGTAGTATTATTGAAGCCTCTCTTTGAAATGTACTATCACATGAAAGGTATATATTAATTATTAATTTACAGGGGTTGCAGATTATCGAGCGTCCCCGTCTTGGTACCGGAGATAGTAAGATTATAGCGTTTCTAATCTATGTGTTTGATGCGAACTATTGTATAACTGAGGAAGATACAGTTAGTTTGCTCTACTATCAGGCAAGTGAGCCATGTTATAGTACATAGTACATAGTACATAACTTACATATTACATAGTACATATTACAGTACATATTACAGTACATAGTACATAGTACAGTACATAGTACATAGTACATAGTACATAGTACATAGTACATTGTACATAGTACATAGTACCGCAAACCCCGATTTACCGCGGGGTTTGCGGTACTATTTAAAACTCTCAACGAAAGCAAACTAAAATGTCCAATTATATGCGTGGGATTTTTCTTTAAAAACTGCACGCATCGAATCACGTGCTATTATTCCATATAATATGGTCATGCGAATCAAAATCAGGACGGGTATCAGTTTTAGTTAGTAATTTGTGAGTGAGACTTTGCTATTGATGTGTCCTCAAATAATGTACCATATACCGATCTGTCAAGTGTAATATTATAATATTTTAAATGTTAAATTGTGTAATTCTATCAACCTGCAAGTTGCAGTGTCTTCGGGTCGGGTCTACTCACATAACGTGACGTTAAGTCAAATGGCCTACTACCTAGTCAACTTACGATTGGTAACGAGTCAGCCAGATTAGTCAATTTAAATTGAGACAATCAAGTCTGCTGTTGAAAATAACGCAGCTAACTAGTGGACGTAGTCATACTGTAAATTAATCGTGATGACTGATGCATAATATATGTATTCTAATTAAAAAAATCCCGACCAAAAATACAAATTGGCGGAGGTTTTATTTTGATTAAAATCATGATTCCGGCGCCGGGATCCCAGTCGGTTCCTGTTCCTATATCATGCAGCTTTGCTTATGTTATGTTATATCAAAGTGTTCAGGAAAACATCTTTCTGGTTAATAAGGGTGATATTGTTCAGGAAAACATGCCCGACACACCAATCTTTTTCCTGGTCAATAAGTGTGATATTGTTCAGGAAAACATGCCCGACACACCAATCTTTTTCCTGGTCAATAAGTGTGATATTGATGAAGAGGCAGCAGCGCTGGACGCCGATTCTGACTCCGAAGAACGCAAACCCCGAATTAGCGAGAATGCTACTCACAGTAGTAACCGGGTCAGTACTTGCTCTTTTCTAGGATTTTATATTGCCGAGACCGGTCGCCTTCAGCTGACTCCTTACTTTCGGTATAGTGTTCGCATAACTTAACTTTCCACATTGACTTGCACATGACTTTATCTTACATTGTGCATAATCTGCAGAGTAAAATGTGGCCTATATTGAGTTTCAAAACATCCGGAAACGCTATCAATGCGGACGAGTATCATACCTTTTCTTGGCATACGTGCACAAATACCTGGTAGAATATTGTAGTCCTAGAATGTAGAATAAAAACGATAATACAATATATTATTTACATACGCTATATTATAGCATTGATTTACTACACTCAACTTTATGTCCTGACTAGTGCATGTGTTATCGCTGCCGAGCGTTTTAGATATTAATTTTGCTTTGGGATAAGACAAGGAATGCGGTCTTGATCTTTTATGACCCATGGGCCATGTCTTAATGTGACTGAAAATCGTTAGGTATTCCGTCTTGAAACCAAAATATACTGTATCATGTTTCAAATAGTACTGTACACTTGAAGTTCTACAGTATGTAACCTACTTACTTAGTCTCATTTTCTTGAGACCTGGTTAGATTGAAACTTGAAAACAGATGTAACATAATCCGGCGTAAACGTTGTGAAAATTCCGATACAACTCCAAGGTCGGCCAGCATCATAATCGAATCTAGTACTGGCTTCATCCCCTTCTAGTTTCTAGAACAATAAACTTATTTGCAGGTGGGGACGATGTTTAATAAACTTATTTGCAGGAGGGGACGATGTTTAATAAACTTATTTGCAGGTGGGGACGATGTTTAATAAACTTATTTGCAGGTGGGGACGATGTTTAATAAACTTATTTGCAGGTGGGGACGATGTTTAATAAACTTATTTGCAGGAGGGGACGATGTTTAATAAACTTATTTGCAGGAGCGGACGATGTTTAATAAACTTATTTGCAGGAGGGGACGATGTTTAATAAACTTATTTGCAGGTGGGGACGATGTTTAATAAACTTATTTGCAGGAGGGGACGATGTTTGATAACCTTATTTGCAGGAGGGGACGATGTTTGATAAACTTATTTGCAGGAGCGGACGATGTTTAATAAACTTATTTGCAGGAGCGGACGATGTTTGATAAACTGAAAGAGATGGGCTTCTTACAAAACTGTTCGGATCCGGAAAAGTGCGATAATTATTTTACTATCAGCGCACGGCAGAGTAAAAGTGCTCGGCGCAACAGGGAAACTAACTTCTTTACTGAACAATTTGATAAATTCCGGAAAGTTCTCATTAATTTCATTCAGGTGGGTGGTCTGTATAGTATGATAACTGATAACCTGATAACTGATAACCCAATCTCATGGTTTTTACGTTATAAAACTGAAAACTGCAACAGTGCAATTGTGCCTGTATAAAATTCACTCGAATGAAGTCAGTAATACTCAAAAATCTTATCTCAATTATACAAATTAAAAACTTCAATCATAAACACGATAAGGTGTCTTCAGTTTAATCTCCAAGAAGAGCTAAAAGAAGCGGTGCGAAGGATTAACACCATTCACACACGATCTCTCGACTTCTTCATAACACACGCCTTCAAACTGGCTCGAGACCTCCAGGCGACACCGAAACGTATCAGTTACGTGAGAGCAGAGGAGAACAAATTGTACAACAACCTCCTAGAAATGGTGAGTTCGCTCAATTTGTGTGTTTTCTGTAGATTGGTTGGCTCTGTAAATTACCGTATTCTGTAAAATGATGGTTCTGTAATCTTAAACAATAATCTCAGAATGTGTGTGTGTGTGTGTGTGTGTGTGTGTGTGTGTGTGTGTGTGTGTGTGTGTGTGTGTGTGTGTGTGTGTGTGTGTGTGTGTGTGTGTGTGTGTGTGTGTGTGTGTGTGTGTGTGTGTGCGTGTGTCTGTGCGTGTGTAATTTCCGGTCGGTTATATTGAAAAAACGGTAAGAGTTACGGGAGTGGTTTTTTCGGTATAGTGCTGAGAAAACTCTGACGAAGCCCATTAGCAATTTTTTTTAAATCGGCCGGTGGTAAGTGGTTTAATTGATGGTTTCGTACCACAAATGTTACATAAAATGGCTTGAGCAGCTTAATCAAGAAAACAGTAAGAGTTACGGGGCTCGCTCTCTCTCCCATTACTGCATAATATGTAGCTGCATAAGTAAATCATAATTGGGTTATCCGGGTAAGATTCGCTGTAATGTTATACTATAAGCTTATAAGGGGAGGGCGCACTGTTTGGGATCTGTTTGGACTGCAGAGAGAGTTCATACTTACATACGACAATGTTATGCGTGTTTTTAAATATAATAGGCGGGTGTGGACTGTGGTGCGGAGTTAACAAGGGTTAATTTCTAAAACGAATTAAATAAAAATGGAAAGCGGTTCAAGACGGGAGTGATGAGGTGTAATAGTCGGTGTTTGGACCTTATGATCATGGAATGTGGTGCCTAATAATGACTTAATTATCCACGAGAACTGATTATGAGATTATTAAATTTAAGATACTATTGGATACGTGAGGGCACTCCGAATAGAATTGCTCACCTAGTGCGGGTTTTGACTCGGCGGGTAGTTACTCCTACCCTTTTTAATTGCGGCAGTGAAATCCCAGCCGAAGGCCGGGTTACACTAGTAGGTATATAATGTAGTTTTGCAAATAATGACATGAAACTTGGGAGTGGTCAAGTGAAAACTTGAGTAGCATTCCATTTTCATCTGAATCCTTGACAGTAAAAATTTACAGTACTGTATTTTATTCATCTGATTTAATTGCCTGCTATCAAGTTTCACGGCAGCCCCATTACTTCTGAAACCGAGACTTGAGTATTGTTGCTAGGCTGGGAATATAAACGGGAATGTTGTAATATATTATATTGTAGTTTTAAATACTGCTGTGCTCTCTTTTTCCAACAAGGTGCTCTACTTAATTATTTAATTGTTTGAGTAGCAAATATGATATGTTACAAACTGAAACAACAAATCAAGCCGACTGTAAGTTTTATGTAAGTTAACAATCATCAGCTGCTCCAGATGAGCTCCAAGAGATACTAAAACAACGTGTCTCAGAATATGTATAAAGAACATCAACAGCACATCCTAGAAAAAGTAAATAAGAAAACTGCAAGGGTGTTGGAGCAGATTTGTGAACCAGGGAGCTTAAATTGTATACCGCTAAGAATTTGAGTTCTAAATAAATCTGAATATACAGATTTTATCACATTGCGATACAGCATAGACTCGGGCCACTTGGATCGTTCACCATCACAATTCACAGTGGCGGATATGCTTAACACAGCATGCTCAGATGTTGAACCTCCGCTTGAAGAACTAAAAGGAAGCGGACATGTCACCCCCACCCCCCCCCCCCCCCCCCCCCCCCCCCCACTCCAGTGGTCAGTGCATGATGGGCGGGGGCGGATTTGATCATGTCTGTGGTTTCGTCGAAAGCATTGTTGAGTCTGTACGGTAGCATCGTTCGTGTTCTTTCATGCGGTGGATCAGGGGTCTGTAGGTCCGTCCGGTATACTTGGAGAGGCATTGTGAGCAGGGTATCTCGTAGATGGTGTTGGGAGTGAGTTGAGTGGGCGGTGTGGTATTCGTCTTGGTGAGGAGGTTGCGGAGAGTAGTTGCTGATGATTGGGTGACTTTGATGTCGTCTTGTCCGAGTATATAGAAGATGGGTTTGGAAGGGAGGGATGGAATGGAAGGGAAACGCTGAGCGCGTGATCTTTGGTCTGTTAGTTGAATGAGGCTAAGGATTTTTGTCGAGGAGGGTTGGCCTTGGTGAATTTGTGGTCCTCGACATTTACGGTTGAACAGGCATGACCAGACATTAAGGCAAGTGGTTTCTATAGGCCGGGCCAAGTGTCTTTTTTTATGTTAAGGTTATTAATCCTAATTCTACTTCCCACCTTCAACATTCAACAAAGAAGACCATGGAGAATTCCGAGAGACAGAAAGCACAGTGTTATAATTACCCTAATTATGAGACAATTCTTAATGTAGAGCATGGATCATTCGCTAAAGTATAGAGCAGTTGAACTGTGTTACTGGACCCTAACATCCTGATGGGGGTGGGGGGTCAATGAACCGTCAAGGATTCGGGTATCCGTTGTGTTTGAGTAGACTAAACTCTTCTACGAGCTCTGGGGAAGAGCTTACTCGGGCAATTACGTGGAAATTCTTAGCCACTCCTATCTAAGCCACTCCTATTATATCTTAGCCACTCCTATCTTAGCCACTCCTATCTTAGCCACTCTTATCTTAGCCACTCCTATCTTAGCCACTCCTATCTTAGCCACTCCTATCTTAGCCACTCCTATCTTTTTAGCCACTCCTATCTTAGCCACTCCTATCTTAGCCACTCCTATCTTAGCCACTCCTATCTTAGCCACTCCTATCTTAGCCACTCCTATCTTTTTAGCCACTCCTATCTTAGCCACTCCTATCTTAGCCACTCCTATCTTAGCCACTCCTATCTTAGCCACTCCTATCTTAGCCACTCCTATTTTCGCCACTCCTATCTTAGCCACTCCTATCTTAGCCACTCCTATCTTCTTAGCCACTCCTATCTTAGCCACTCCTATCTTCGTTTTCATCGGATGATGTGATTTGATGTTTAGAGTGATACGAATGAAAGGAAATGTGAAAATAGCCGCATCCGCTATACTATACTAGGACACAATACTAGGACACAATATGATTACCAGTTCTTGTCAATGATCACGCCAAGAAATTTTTCGTGTTCACTTTGCTTCAATCGTTCACTTCTTATGTAGATTTCTATTATATCCTCGGTTTTCTTATTTGTAAATATCATATAATATTTAGTTTTGCTAGCATTCAATTGGAGACCGTCGCGTTGTTAGAAGCCCAATCGATTATAAAAGTCACTGGGATTTCATTTGCCATTACATTAAGTTGTTCAATGTTCAAAAGTATCTGCACTGATAATTAGATTTGCGTCGGACGAAATAAATATGTTTGGCTAAATCAATAATTTGAGGAAGGTTGTTGATGTAAATTATGAACAGAATTGGTCCAAGAAAGAAAAAAAAACAAAAAAAACATGAAATTTACTTTTAGCACATTTTACGAATAAAAAGGTGTAAAACAATTTATAAAAATATAATGCTCATTTGGTGTATGACTTTTTGTCCTTGACTGTTAGTTTGATTTTGAAGGGACAGGTAACTAACGGGGCAAGCAATGTGCGTGCCTGGAAGCTTTTGCACACACCGAAACGCTAGTTCAGTTGAGTTTTTAGAGAAAAAGCTCATATTAGGATCAGAAGAAAATTGTTAGCTGACATTAGGGGTTCTGTTTATATTTGTTACTATGGGTTGCAGTCTTGTTGTGACAGAAAGTCTACACTATTTATGTAGTATGCTTAAGTTTGATGATATAAAATGCAACTTCAAGATGGATATTGGAGAGCTGGTGAAAAATTATGGCCTTTGTATCAATGGTTATAAATTACTAGATGTATTGCAGGGTCACACACACAGTTCAGGACAACAATACTAGATGTATTGCAGGGTCACACACGCAGTTCAGAACAACAATACTAGATGAATTGCAGGGTCACACACGCAGTTCAGAACAACATTACTAGATGTACTGCAGGGTCACACACACAGTTCAGAACAACAATACTAGATGTATTGCAGGGTCACACACACAGTTCAGAACAACAATACTAGATGTATTGCAGTGTCACACACACAGTTCAGAACAACAATACTAGATGTACTGCAGGGTCACACACACAGTTCAGAACAACAATACTAGATGTACTGCAGGGTCACACACACAGTTCAGAACAACAATACTAGATTTACTGCAGGGTCACACACACAGTTCAGAACAACAATACTAGATGTATTGCAGGGTCACACACGCAGTTCAGAACAACAATACTAGATGTATTGCAGGGTCACACACGCAGTTCAGAACAACAATACTAGATGTACTGATAGTTGGATAATATCCGGTTGGAAGAGACAAGGACAAATGAAACAGGAAGTTAGGAATATAGGCAAATTTTTGGTGTCAACGCCATCTTCAGGCTCAAATTATTTGTTATATAGTAGTGTTGAAAGTATTAAACATTAAGTTTTAATACTTTCAACACTAATATATTATATATATATTATCCAACTATGAGTCTATTCTGAAACGCCTTATTGATTTATGCTGGGTTTAATTAAACTGCACTTAAATAAACTAGCTAACCCTTTTTTGTTCTAGTGTGAACTGTGAAGCATAAATCAAATTATCAATTATTTTGATCAGGTACACGACAACCAGCAGGAAATGTCAGGTATAATAGAGCAAAGCATTGCAGAGATAACACCTGACATCCTGGGAGAAGCAGAGTCTTTTGAGTTCGAGAGAGTGAGGCTGAGTGAGAGTGGGAGACTAGCTGATATCAGACAGGTGGGGTACTAGCTACATGTACTTGTGTTTTATTCACGATGTAAGATAAACTTGTTTGGGGGGGGGGGAGGTGTCACTACACCTTTTTGTTGTAGCGACCAGGGGTGTGCGCCGCCGCCGAACGCCGCCGCCGCCGAGTGTTTAGCCCACGCCGCTGCGCCGAACAATTTATCGGCGGCGCAAACGGCGTGAACGTGGTATTTTTAAAATTTGAATTTTCAAAATATTACTCAAAAAAATTAAAAATTTAATAAAAAAATTTGCTGAATTTAATTATAAAATCCCTCTAGCATGTCTGACGTCAAGTAGTTCGATGTAGCAAATGCAATGTTTCATGAAATTGTGAATTCCCGTCATACGATCAACGATGAATTGAAGTGAAATTTGCAACTGTCTGAACCTTATTAATACTAAGTCAATCCTTTACCTAAGCAATGAATTTCCATTTTGTCGAGTCACAACTGAAACTGCCAATTTACCACAGGCCACGCCGCCGAACGCCGCCGCCGCCGCTAATTTTGGCCAGGCCGCCGCCGATTTTGGTAGAACACGGCGGCGCACACCACTGGTAGCGACAATGAAGTTACTAGTTACTGGTTGCTGGTTACTGGTTACTGGTTACCAGTCACCAGTTACCAGTTACTAGTTACTAGTACAATTAGTTACTAGTTACTAGTTACTGGTTGCTGGTTACTAGTTACTGGTTACTGGTTACTGGTTACCAGTTACTAGTTACTAGTTACTAGTTACTGGTTACTAGTTACCAGTTACCAGTTACTAATTACTAGTTACTGGTTACTAGTTACCAGTTACTAGTTACCAGTTACTAGTTACTAGTTACCAGTTGTATGGTTAGCTATCCAATTATTTATTTGAAGCAATGTAACGCAACAGGTGAGGAGATGTAATGATCAACTGGAAAAGTTGGTTTTGGAGAAACTAAATGTACTTGTTTCTAAGAAGATTGTACAAAGTGCTAGCTGCCTCCAAGAGAGTATGATAGGTTTGTGAAAATAACACTATGTTAAGATTCTTTGGTCACTAAACTGTCTAAATGAAATTGGTAATTGATTATTTATTCTCTAATTTTTTCACTTCAAAATATAATATTCACTGCAATCTGCATGCTAAGTTTGGTCGAATAATAGACATTCTGTCATGGTCAGCTGCGGATGAAGGGGCCGGAAACACACGCCGGCGATCATCTATAGAGTTAGGTAAACCATCATTACATAGTACCATCCTTATACTAGAGGTTGCTTGGAATTGGCTAGAATTTCAATCACGTAATTTACCAAAACCTGAAAACTATGTAGTTTTTTACTGTTAAAATTGCGTGGGCCTTAATTTTTTGTCTGCCGAACCATGGTTTAAATTGTGCTCGCGAAAAATACTCAAATATTTTGATATTAATACTTTTGTCATTCACTACCTCAATACAAGGTTTCTTTCAACTTTAAAGTTCATTTTAAAGATTAACACACTTCAACCTTAAAACTTTCAAACACTTTTCATGTATTGTGGTTATCGTTTTTGTACACCCTATTTAGTAAAAATGGTGGATGACGACGGCAGATCATCGAAGCGGAGTATCTCATCGGTTATTTGTTATTGACCAGACATAATGCGAACGGGCATTAAAATTTACACTTAAAGGCATTCAAAACCATTAAAAATCCGAAATTTGTTCATCTTTTTGGGCGGTTTTCCCAATTTTAATAGATATAATTTTTCAATCGTTTTTTAATACAGTGAGCCAAAAAAAGCAGTCGTTAAGAAGTAAACATGTTTATATTAAATTAAATCAAAAAGCAGCCATATCCTGGACTATAAGTAGTGGAATACATCTGGGGGGGGGGGGGATTTCAACAGACAGACTTTATTTGAACAGACATAAAAATGAATGTTAGGGCCTCCAGCGTCCAATTAATGTCCGTTCAAATAAAGTCCGGTAAGGTAAGTAAAAGTCGGATCATGGTCTTATCTGCATAGCAATGAAAAAGTGAATGACGCAGTGTCAAGGTGGGCTGGGTAGTACCCTACATACTATAAAATACATAATTCTTGGAACTTCTTCGTAGCAATACCATCGTAAAAAGACAAGGATCGAGGCTTAATATATTATGGTAAAATGTTTTTTTCAAACCACTTTTACATTAATTGCAGGGTTCAGTTTTAAAATATGCTAACACGGCAGTTGATCTATACTCTGAAAGTTTCAGGAAGCCTATATCAGATCTGATCAGCAGTCTCCCTCCAGGCACATTGTCGCGATGTTTGGCAAGACTGGAAGAAGAACAGGAGGACACAAACAACGGTCAGGCCAGGCAGGCTCTAACTAGGGTAGTCGCCTCCGCTTACGGCCTTGACTTTAGGGTCGCTAACCAGTTCTCATCGGTTCAAGCCATCTGGGAAAGCCTCAAGATGATGTTCCAGACCGGATTTCCACAGCCTGTCCCGGACTCGGAGTGGAAACGCAATACTGCTCAGGTGAGATGATGCGTGTTCACTGTGCAGAGGTGTTCTAGCAAAATTGTAAAAATTTCACACAAATGTCATGCAAGGTTTATTCTAAGAATTGTAAATTTGTCGCGAACAAATTTGATCCAAAATAGCTAAAAAGTTTGGTGCGGAAATTTATACTGTTCTGACTTCGGAGAGGACTGTCCCCCCCCCCCCCCCCCCCCCCCCCCCCCCGTAAAATACCTTGTCCGGAGAAGTTCATACAGAGACATGTCAAATAGTAAACGGAGTTATCAGGAAATGTTTGTTTTGTTAAATTAATAAATGGTTCCTGCTAACCAGATAACCGGTGAAATCAAGTGATTACACATATTAATTGAAAATTTACCTTTGATTAACAGGTAACGAACAGTTTAATTAAGGTGTTCTACTGATTACCTTAGTCGAGTAATTTATAATTGCCAAAAAATTCTCAATGAACGGAACTCGAACCTCGCCAACACGAGCGCATTGACCATTATGCAATACATTACATACATGTTACATACATTATGCAATACTTAATGGACGGAACTCGAACCTCGCCAACACGAACGCATTGACCATTATGCAAAACATTACATACATTATGCAATACTTAATGGACGGAACTCGAACCTCGCCAACACGAACGCATTGACCATTATGCAAAACTTAAATCTATATACCCGATTGATGGGGAACCAGATTTTTTTTACTGATTAATGTTTACTCAAAAGATTGGTTTATACATTAGATCTTGTAAATTGTGATAGGCTAGTTACCTCTAGCTCTTGGATAGAAATATGGCGACAATGTGATGAGAATACAGTGTTAATTAGCATTAATAAGTTAGTTCTACAGTTTAAGAGGCTACTTTTTAAAACTTTAAATGAAGAAATTAGCTTGGAACCTCATTCCCTCACTTTCAGTTAGTTACTACGGTGTACCATGAAATCAGATAAAGTACTGCATCTAGAAAGCTGTACCAATTCAAACCTTTTTAAATTGTTTTACTTTTCGGGGTTTCTCTCGGTATACCTCTCACGGTACAAGAATATTGGTTCATCTTTGATATTAGAAATAACCATACATTTTTCCTTATTCATACCAGATTGTTTCAAATAGTTATTTCAATTTATAACTTTTGCACAGTGTATATGTAGTACACCAATAGTGGTTAACGACCAATGTAAATCTTGTTGCGAAGTTTTACTCATAGAGAGAGCAATTCAATTTCATTTATTCATTATAATACATATTGTGGTTTCAATGTCCGAGCAGATAATATAGTACATATTGTGGTTTCAATGTCCGAGCAGATAATATAATACATATTGTGGTTTTAATGTCCGAGCAGATAATATAATACATATTGTGGTTTCAATGTCCGAGCAGATAATAATTACATATTGTGGTTTCAATGTCCGAGCAGATAATATAATACATATTGTGGTTTCAATGTCCGAGCAGATAATATAATACATATTGTGGTTTCAATGTCCGAGCAGATAATATAATACATATTGTGGTTTCAATGTCCGAGCAGATAATATAATACATATTGTGGTTTCAATGTCCGAGCAGATAATATAGTTTTTCTCCAAATCTGTTTATTCAGCATGAGTTATTTATCTCCTTGCTGTCGTCAAGCCCCGTGTTCCTCCGCAGATTGCCCACATAGGTGAGGTGTGGACTGTAGCCAGGGCCCAGGTTACGATCTCAAGATACGACTGTTCCTGGGCCAGGGAAACTGGACAGTCGTATCTTGAGATCTCTACGATTACCGGACTTACAATGTAAGTCTTACATATCATCTTCATCTGGTGGTATGCTGCCCAATCCTTATAATAATACATTATATGAACTGTCACAATATATCCTCAGCGATAACATATTGTAGATATGGCCGATGAGGCCCTATCAGAGGCTGGTGAACCTTCTCCCAATAATACACTGTTCGTAAACTTAAGGTAAACTTCCAATCAATATGTGTAATCATTTGAATTCGTCTATTATCTAGTTAGCAGGAACCATTTACCAAACCAAATATTTGACATGTCTTTGAGAGCACAGTTTTCTCCGAACGGTGTAATTTATCGATGTCAATTTCTGCACGCACCTAACTTTTACGCTATTATGGATCCGAACTTGGGCGACAAAATTACAATTTACAATTTGTAACGAAATTGTAATATGCCCCCATTTCTGGAAACGCGCAAGCGCAATGTATATTGTCTGTTCACAGATCGCCCTGTAAACTTACAAGGAAATATTTCCTGTAGATCCTTGGTATATAATCAACATTTGACAAAGCATAGTGTGGAGTGAGCTATGTGCCCATCCTTGGAGAACCCGGTGGATGTCCTTGCTGTACGGCAGTGTTAAACAAGGAACTGAAACCGAGGGGTTCCGTTCAGGCCCCTCACACTTTGTTTCTGTCTAGTTCTAATGTACCGTCACAATAGTGACTTTAATATATGGATGCAGATTCAGGATGAGGGCAGCGTTACAATAGTGACTTTAATATATGGATGCAGATTCAGCGTTACAACTCATTGAAAACATCCTCTGATGTGCAGAGGAGGTGTTCTAGCAAAATTGTACGTAAAAGTGTACAAATTTCGCCCCTTGTCGCCACTAGTTTATTCTCAGAATTGTACTAAATGTCGCCCCAGTGGCTTAAGATCGCCTCACATGCCGTAGGTGCTGAGTTCGAATTCGGTTTTATGCACTATTTTGCGTCCGAACTGGGCGAAATTTCTTATCATTCTTTGATTTGATCCATGTCAGTGACTACGAAAATTTTTTGTTTAACATTTGGTCATGACTTTTGTATCACATTTTTGGATAAAGTTGATTGAATTAAAAGTAAATAATCGTACACTAATTTTGCCTCAGATCTATGTTTTAAATTACATTTTGAAATTTTTATAGAAATATTTTAGATCATGAATACGATGTTGTAAATGTAACATCGAAACGTTGAGTAATTCCTTTCCTGATAAGAGCATTTTTCCTTGTCGCATCAAACAGGATCAATACAAATTTACACAAGAATACAATTTTTAACTGCGGCAGTGAAATCCCGGCCGAAGGCAGGCAGAAACTATAGTTTTTGTGACGCGCGGAGCTTATTTTAAAGGTTTACAATTTCGCCAATAACACGCGAGTTCATAAGCGCATGTTGTGGCGTCGACTTATCTTGTCCTCAGATGCTTCCGGCTTTTCCCTAGATATGATAAAACATTTTTTTTTGTTGTTGCTGCATTTCAAACAAGAAATTTAATATGTACTCCTCAGAACATACTTGGAAAGATTCAAGCTGTTCCTATGGCAAGAGGCATAACTACCCAGTTCACTGAGAGACTCAACGAAAGCCACTCTATTTTTGAGACATCTATGGACCAACTCCTGAAACTTCATCAAGCTAGATTAGGCCAGGCAAGAAAAGAAACTTTGCTCTTAATTCCCATAAATTTAAATACTAGCTCATCAAATACAAATTACATCAACAAGCGATCCCGGAATGGGTATGTTTTGTGTAACTCAGTAGTGGAGTGTGGACGGTTTACACTGTAAACCGTAACTGAACTAATTTCTCCGGTAGACGGAAGAGGACAGACATCGCACTCGCACCGAATACGCCCCAAGACTTGCCCGCCTCGCCCTCTACTCTACATCACTGTGGTAAGTTGATCTTCCATTTTTTAAACTAAAACTCAAAATTGTGTAGAGTGGACCATGGCCAGTGTCTCCTTTTTCCGAACAAAAAGAATTGACGTCAATTTAAATTGCTGTTCTCAAATGCAAAATGGTACCGAAAATGAAACCGGTTGCTCGCTTTTCCCATTCATTCACGGTGTTAAAAATTGGCCAAAAATTGATTACATAATACCGTATCTCGGTCATCTGAGAAGCTACAACTCTCATTTTTTCAGGACAAACGTAATTCGAATGGCCAAATACAATCCAATAAAATTTGGCTCGATCCGACTATCCAAACTATCAAATAAATGCGAAAATGAACATTCATTTTTTTTTAATGAACACGAATATTTTTCGATTTGACAAATTCTTCGAACCAGTGGTGGTAGTGAGTCATACCAGAAAGATTTATTTCAATTGGGCACTCAGTGACTGAGCTATTAAGGCCAACGTTTGAACACTGACTTTTGGCCCACCCTGTATTTTTGGCTCATAATGATCAGGGTAGCATCTCGATAAGTACCTGTAAAACTAGAGCTCCCGCTTCCGAGCTCGTATTGAGAAGGGGAGGCCTGCCTTCCGAGATCGCAATTTTGACTTTTTGATCACATGAGAAAGAGGTACGTATCGAGAATGACTCGAAAATTTTGACAAAAGTGGTTTTTCTGGAAACTACTTTTGTTCATGTTTCATGCTACCCTGATCATTATGATTTTCCCCAAAATTTTTAGAAACCTAAATAAAAAAGTTGGCCCTTTTGGACCCTTGCCCAGATTTTATGGGGGGATCCCCCCGCTTCCTACACCTCTGGATCTCAAGGAGAAAAACATTGACTATAGTATAGACTGGAAAATCATCACCAAATCAAATAGTTATACGGCAGGGGCGGGGCACTGTGGCCTCTGCCTAGACGAGAAGCTGCACAACCTAAAGAATCCAGACTCATTAAATGAAAGATCTGAGATTATCTCAAAATGAAGACATTCTAGGAAATTTGTTATTTGTCTTCATAATTTGCTATTTCAATTGTATTTATGTCCCTGAAGATTATTGTTGAACACATGGAACTATTATTTGGGCAATAACACCGTTTACTTTGTTACGCTTATAATATATATCGGTATGTGTGGCATAGTAACAGTAGCTAATTGGAGTATATAACATATATTGTACATAATATAATATTATGTATCATTATTGTTTTCATTAATAATCTTCTCAATGTTTAAAAACTCCCTCAGCGACCAGTTAGAATACGGAATTCCGATACAAGGTCGTGAAATAGGACGAGGTCACTTTGGCGTGGTTTACTCTTGTATTAAATGGGCTGGAAAGGGTCCGTTAGCTCTTAAGTCAGTGGTACCTCCCGACGACAAACATTGGGGTAGCCTCGCTCTTGAATTCTACTATGCAAGGTGAGACACACACACACACACACACACACACACACACACACACACACACACACACACACACACCCCCCCCCCCCCTACATTGGGATAGCCTCGCTCTTGAATTCTACTACGCAAGGTGACACGCCTTTTTTATATTTTGTTTGGATCTGATGTCACGTGTTGAACTCTGTTTGGCCCATATTGTTAGGGTGTGATAAATTAAAAAGGACGCCAATAATAAGTTTTTGTCCAATTGCACATAAATGTATTCTTTGTATATCGTATTGTATCAGATGCCATCGCGGAGTGGGTGTTATCCTTCACCTTTTCCGCCTCGACATGGCGAGGGAAAAAAGCAACCTGAAATCCGGAGGTGATCACGACCATTAAAGCTTTTATGTTCCTATGATTAACTAGTTTTAACTAACCGGCCCTAGTAATCCCAGTAGCGCTATGGATGGTTACACCTACTGAGCCTGATGTCACAAGGCCATGAATAAAACTGGGACTGGCGTAACATTTTAAAGAAATGAACGACCTTCGTAACATTCATTACTGTAAATTGGAATAGGAAAAGACGTTCATTTTTAAGAGTAATGAAATGTGGTGAAATTAAAAGTTTTATGCTAATGCTATCACCAGTGTTCAAAAACTGTTAATACATTCTTTTCCTGGTTAATGTTGTCATTGGATTGAGGCATGACCGATTGAGTTTCATTCGTTGGGCCGTACTCTCCTTTGGAAGAAATGCTGGAATCATGTCAGGTTACATCAACGGGATCCTTATTTACAATCTCCAGTTTGAGTTAGAAGTGAGCGAGATTACTTACCAACAGAATGCACGAAGTTAAAGAAGTTGCTATAACAGGGACCCCCCCCCCCCCCCCCCCCCCCCCCCCCCTTCCCCCCTATAACAAAGAAATTAAACATTTTAACACGGGATCAGTTCATCCCGTTCATTTGAGTTTTAGGATATTGGTAAACAAAAATAAGAGCGTTTTCGAGGATAGTGGCCTAATTTAGACATCGATTAACCTAGCACGTTCAGAAGTTCTGAACATAAGCCACGTAACCCTTACTCCCATATACACTGCTCAGAAAGAAAATCTATTGTTGTTAGGCAATATGATGTTTCAAATGTCACATTTTGTGTGACTTAGTTAACTGCAGTTGTCTAATTATTATGGTTGGTGGGCTAGACAGTGAAACACGCAATTGTAGTGTATACTTCGTAAGATTACATCATTAGCTACAATGAAATTAAGTTGGTTAGTTTAATTAGTACTAAACAAACGAAGATCTAAAATGCCTCAAAAAATCGAGAATCAAATTACCTAAATAAAATACACGTGGTAAATGGAAATGAACTACAACAAGAATAAAACTTCAAAAAGTGAATTAAAAACTAAAAACCTTATCTTTCAACTTTGCACCTATTTAAACCCAAGCAATTAGTTCTATACTTCTCAATATATCTAAATTCCTCCCTATTTAATCCCCTGGGGTTACATTCATTCAAAATGTATTGTTGTTCTGAACTGTGTGTGACCCTGCAGTACATCTAGTATTGTTGTTCTGAACTGTGTGTGTGACCCTGCAGTACATCTAGTATTGTTGTTCTGAACTGAGTGTGTGACCCTGCAAAACATCTAGTATTGTTGTTCTGAACTGTGTGTGTGACTCTGCAGTACATCTAGTATTGTTGTTCTGAACTGTGTGTGTGAACCTGCAGTACATCTAGTATTGTTGTTCGGAACTGTGTGTGACCCTGCAGTACATCTAGTATTGTCGTTCTGAACTGTATGTGACCCTGCAACACATCTAGTATTGTTGTTCTGAACTGTGTGTGTGACCCTGCAGTACATCTAGTATTGTTGTTCTGAACTGTGTGTGTGACCCTGCAACACATCTACTATTGTTGTTCTGAACTGTGTGTGTGAACCTGCACTCTGCAGTACATCTAGTATTGTTGTTCTGAACTGTGTGTGACCCTGCAGTACATCTAGTATTGTTGTTCTGAACTGTGTGTGTGACCCTGCAGTACATCTAGTATTGTTGTTCTGAACTGAGTGTGTGACCCTGCAAAACATCTAGTATTGTTGTTCTGAACTGTGTGTGTGACTCTGCAGTACATCTAGTATTGTTGTTCTGAACTGTGTGTGACCCTGCAGTACATCTAGTATTGTCGTTCTGAACTGTGTATGTAACCCTGCAGTACATCTAGTATTGTTGTTCTGAACTGTATGTGTGACCCTGCAATACATCTAGTATTGTTGTTCTGAACTGTGTGTGTGACCCTGCAGTACATCTAGTATTGTTGTTCTGAACTGAGTGTGTGAACCTGCAGTACATCTAGTATTGTTGTTCTGAACTGTGTGTGTGACTTTGCAATTTTTTTCAGGAACATTCCAGCGCACAAGAACATATGTGGGTTTCACGGGGCCGTTCTAGACGAGTCCGTCAACGGTCACACAATTGCATATCTGGTAAGTGAACAATTTTAATCCTCTTATTCCTATATCAATCTTGTGATTGATGCCAATATAATGTATTCCTAGATTTCATATCCTTTCTTTTATCCCTTCACCCCCTCAACTTCACCATCTTCACTCTAAAGATCAACGTAATTGTGGACCAGCGTCCAGCAAAAGTCTATAACTTAATGCTAATGCTAATGTGGGAATATTGCTTAAGAAGGCTTCAAGGCTAGTTGTAGATGCGAAGTCAACATCATGGTCGTGTGATTTAACTTCAAGGGATCGGATATTGTCTGAAAGGGCGAGGTACCAGTGACTTGAGGTGTGGTGTCCCGGTGTGCTTGAGTTTCTTCCTTAAAGCCGTCAGAGGACACCACACCAGCTGTTCACTTAACTGACCAATGATTAACTTTGATAAAGTTCAAACTCTATTTAATATTTATACCTGAGATAATCTGTCTCTGGAGACAGGAGTTTACATCTGGAGACAGGAGTTTACCTCTGGAGACAGGAGTTTACCTCTGGAGACAGGAGTTTACCTCTGGAGACAGGAGTTTACCTCTGGAGACAGGAGTTTACCTCTGCAGACAGGAGTTTACCTCTGGAGACAGGAGTTTACCTCTGGAGACAGGAGTTTACCTCTGGAGACAGGAGTTTACCTCTGGAGACAGGAGTTTACCTCTGCAGACAGGAGTTTACCTCTGGAGACAGGAGTTTACCTCTGGAGACAGGAGTTTACCTCTGCAGACAGGAGTTTACCTCTGGAGACAGGAGTTTACCTCTGGTGACAGGAGTTTACCTCTGGAGACATGAGTTTACCTCTGGAGACAGGAGTTTACCTCTGCAGACAGGAGTTTACCTCTGGAGACAGGAGTTTACCTCTGCAGACAGGAGTTTACCTCTGGAGACAGGAGTTTACCTCTGGAGACAGGAGTTTAACTCTGCAGACAGGAGTTTACCTCTGGAGACAGGAGTTTACCTCTGGAGACAGGAGTTTACCTCTGGAGACAGGAGTTTACCTCTGGAGACAGGAGTTTACCTCTGGAGACAGGAGTTTACCTCTGGAGACAGGAGTTTACCTCTGGAGACAGGAGTTTACCTCTGGAGACAGGAGTTTACCTCTGGAGACAGGAGTTTACCTCTGGAGACAGGAGTTTACCTCTGGAGACAGGAGTTTACCTCTGGAGACAGGAGTTTACCTCTGGAGACAGGAGTTTACCTCTGGAGACAGGAGTTTACCTCTGCAGACAGGAGTTTACCTCTGGAGACAGGAGTTTACCTCTGGAGCAAAAGTGCGATCGCACCGATACGCAAAAAAGGTTGCATCAGGAGACAGGAACCCTGACAACTATAGAGCAAAAGCAGTTTGTAGCTGTATCGGAAAACTGCTCTCTACGATGCTGCTATCTCGGCTTGTTACTCACCGCCAAATCTCACATCCTGATCCACCTAACCAAACAGGTTTTACCAAAGGAAGCCAATCCAACGATCAACGAGATCGACCGTGATCCCGGTACCGGGGCCCGGCCGGGATTGGACTTTTTACCAAATCCAGATGCCGGCCAAAATACCAATTTTACCGGGATTTTGACCGGGATTTTAGATACAACTTCTTTCAAGATTTTGGAAAAAAATTGCAGCGTGACGGAAAACAAATTCTAGAGCTCTTCTCAAAAGTAATTATAGCACATTTACTTTTTCGACTAAGCTTCAAATTGAAAACAATTGAATATGGTTTCAAGAATTCAATCAAATTGATTTAATAATTTCGCTGTATCATGTTGAAAATAAATATTAAAATCTTTAATTACAATCAAATATGAATATACATGTACACATGTATGAATATATGATAACGCTCTTTAGGTATTACTATTTAAGATCGTAGGGAATAAGTAATCGGGTTTGGATATAATATGAGGTGGCCCGATAGTCCTACGTTGATGAAAAAAGTCTGCTCTTTCGCAATATAGACCACTCCTCTAAAAATTTGAACAGTGATCAGTAATGGATAAGGTATTAAGACCTGAAAAACTGGAACTTGACCTGGGAACATCAGCGGACGGAGAAATGCCAACAAGTTCGTGCATTGGAAGACCACAATGGACAATTTTGTAGAGACGCTGAAACAAACGGTTACAACAGATGACGCTAAATACAAAGTTTTGATTAACTTAATTTGCCCCGATATTTTTCTCCACATCTCCGAGCTAACAAAATACTCATCGGGTTACGATTTACTCTAATTTATCAATATAGCGTATTAGTATTTAGTCATCTGAGCGGATCAATCATCAATATAAGTGTTACTTTAGTGAAACAAGCTTAATGAATTACCGAGTGATAAGATTCAGCGAGTCAAAACAAATAAAATTAAAGGACCTGATGGAGAACATCCTTGGGGCTTGGCCTGAAAAAGATTAATTCTAGCTGCCTGGACTCGCTCATCATTTGCTGGGTCATCAGGCTTCCTCCTAGCCTTCCTTGGAAGCAGTTCCTCATTACATGTAACCATGGTAGCGTTACATTTGCGGCCTCGGTGATTTCCACAAACTTGGCGTAAAGTTCCGTAGCATCCTCCATGTGGTCACTGTCCATGAGACACGGTTCTTCACTACAAGTGCATATTTATCCTGGAGCTCAGAGTCTTTCCTCAGGCTGCTAAAGTCATACAGGATCATTTGCTTGGCGGTCCTGTTCTTACTGAGGCTCATCTTAACTCTACTAACTACGGCACAATTATCAGACCCTAACGAGTTGAAGAAGTTGTTCAAGTGGCTCAGTGTTCTTGACTGAGTTTCTCCACTTTTCCTGAGGGTTACATGTTACATGTAACCATGGTAACGTTACATATTACATGTAACCATGGTAACGTTACATTATATAACATGTGATAACATTTCAGATAATGGACAGGTTGTCGCGTGACCTGTTTGCAGCCCTAAAGTCCAAGAGCCTGGATCCCCGCACTAGGTTTAACGTCTCGCTGGATATCGTGGAGGGAGCTCGATACCTCCACAATCAAGGCCTCGTCCACAGAGATCTCAAACTACAGAACGTCTTGGTAAGTAATAGGTTTTTACTATGGTTTGTGCTTCATGAAATGCAAACTCCCACGCATGCCTTTTAATATTGACCTAAAATATTGGAACATTATAGTTTCATTTAAGTAAAATCGATCTAACTTCCTTTCAATCCATATTATCCATATATCGAAAGGATCATCAAGCAATTTAGTTTAAGTCTACAAATTATTTTTGTGTAAAATAATTTGTAGACTCTAGTAACAGGGAGGGGTTGAGTGAGTCACACTCCGGATTGCGGGCACTATATCCAAACTGTCGTGCAGGAAGCATAATTAAGCAATATTAATATATTTTTTTATATTTTCGTCATTGTAAACCCGTTTCGCATAACTTTTGGATCGTGCTAAATTTAACGACCTTTAACAATAATAGGTAAAAATGGGGTTTCTAGCATGTTTGCCAAGACGACTTTCAGCAATTAAATTTTGAAAGATTGTAGCAACAACGGGGGGGGGGGGGGGGCTGTATATCAAAGTATATTTAAGTATATTTAAGTATATTTAAGCATATATATAAAAAAAACTTACATTTTAATTAGAAATGGAATTTCATGTATATTTTCTATGTAACCAATCCAAGACGTGATGGAAATATTTTAAGCGGGCATATCCTGTCCAAACCCAGGATGCACTACAAGAAGAATTTGTTTTAACTTTGTATGAATGAAAAGCATTAATAGGTATATTAAAGTATATTAAAGTATATCCCTGGGTCAAAATTGAAAAAAAAACCCTACATTTTAATATATACTTTAATATGGTTGCCCCCCCCCCCCCCCCCCCCCCAAGTGTAGTGTAACATAGTGTAAAAAAGTGACATTTGTTTTCTCACCAAAGGTATGTTTTACTATGTGAAGACTGATTGGAAAATAATAGGAAAAAAGAAGATTTTTAGAAGATAATTTTGTTAAATGTAATTGAAAGTGTAAAAAAATGTAAAATAGTATAAAAAAGTATACCTTTTTTCCTTTTTTTACTACACTTTTTCCTACACCATACAAAAAAGGCAAAAGTTTAGTGTAAAAAAGTGTAGTTTTTATTTGTTAAACCACTCTGACATGAAATGTATATTTGATCTTTTGTTATATACATACTCATTTGAAACAAATTACTTCAAATAGAATTAAACATTAGCTACAAATGTTAAGTGAAAAACCCCTTTTAATCTAAAAAACACACTTTCAGCTGGACTCCAACAACATGGCTAAGATAACAGACTATGGTTTTTGTAAACCTGAGGCCATGATGTCCGGGTCTCTGGTTGGCACACCCATCTACATCGCACCTGAACTATTTTCAGGTCAGCTTTGATATTTCTTTTGTTAATCTAATTGGTAATTAATGTACCACTCATAGATTTGAATAACTACTTAAAATTAAATGGACTAGACACGATAAATAAAACAGTTAATATTTCGTACTCTTTAAACACAACTTTAGTGTATGATCCGGAAGTTTACCATCCTTGTAATAGTAATTCACGTAACCCGACATAACTGCTCACGTATTCCCTGCTTTTGTTTAGTGAACAGTGAGTCAATATGGGATTTTGCAGCAAAGCCCCAAACTAGTGAACAGAAATTTAAGTGAGATTGTACAAAACGTTGGAAGATCTGTAAGCGTGCGCTGCTTTGATTGGTAATTTGCGTTTTATTTTGAACATAACACCTATATAATAAATCGTGACATTTTTGTTTTGACAGCTCGGATATGGCTAGCCCAGTTTAATTTTTCGTCGACGATAACTCCTAAAAACCTGGCCTCTGTTTTGCGTTCAATAGGACAGTATAATAGGAGTGTTGTTGATTCTTAAGAGACGATTCTTACCCGCCTTTTTGAAAATACCATATAGCAAGTCTTCTTCAGATTAAGAGCCGTTCGAGTAAACCAATTTTATCAACACGTCAGTGAGGTTTATAATTTCTTGTACATTTGATCCGGTGATAATTATATTTGCGTCGTCTGCGTATAATATAAATTTAGCTAGGTTACTGATTCCTGGTAAGTCATTGATATATATTATGACAAAGAGCAGGGGGTCTAATATAAATAAATAAATAATAATAAATTCTAACATTTATTACACGCTTCGACATTAAAATATACCCAACAAAGATGTACATTTAAGTCATTCAAGCGAGACTTAGTGTTGAAATACCAAGATTATGGACTTTTTTAAACAGTTCAGATTTTATGAACAAATATTTGTATGAAGTTACCAAAATTATGCACTTTCTGTATCAGTTCAGACATTATGGACAAATATTAGAAATATTATCAAAAGCTAGGTGGAAATAAAACGTCTTTAGGGCATTTTTAAAACATTCTACAGATGATAATGATCTCACTGAGTAAGGTAGTTCATTCCAAATTTTTGGTCCACAAAACATAAATGCAGCATCTGTTCGTCTGAAATGAGGAGCAGGAGGAACTTTCAACAAATAAAAGTCATCATCTAGTCTGGAACTTCGTCTTCGTACTTCCCTTAGATTGATGTGTCCTTGTAAGTACTGAGGGGCTATGTTATTAAGACACTTGAAGACCAGAAGTGATATTTTGAACTTGATTCTGAACCGAACAGGCAGAAAGTGGAGCTTTTTGAGGTAAAGCATGATAGGTTGACGTATTTTTTTCCCGTAAAGACCAAAGATAAATCTAGCAGCATTGTTCTGTATCTTTTGTAGCTTATGAAGATTCTTTTCTGTTATACCATAATAGACTGAGTTGCAGTAGTCTATGAAACAGAGGATATTGGAGTGAACTAACTGAACTTTTAGGTCATGGGAAAGCTTCGAACCGATTCTTGCTAAGTCCCTTTGATTCAAATAACATACTTTGGAGACAGCATTTATTTGAGAGTCCAAATTCATTTGGTGATCGAAAAGAAATGCCAGGTTCTTGGCTTTGCTAACAGGACAGATTGAGAGGTCTCCTAAATCCATTGTCTGGATTGGGCTGACATATAATGGTCCTATTTTTCATTTGAAAATTCAATTAATTATTATATATATTTATTATATATATAAATCAAGCGTTACATTTCAGCCATGCAAAATTACAATGACATATTTTGATTATAAACTAATTGATAAATGGTACTGCAATATAAGTTGCTTAATGTTTGGCCGGATGACAACTAACTGAAAGAGAAAAATAAACTTGATTACATAATAAATAATTCGGTTGAACCAACACATATCAAGAGCCACATTAACATTGGGGCCGTCTAATAACTCTGTTTTTTCATCATTCAGTTTTAGGAAGTTAACTGTCATCCATTGCTTTATCTCCAGAAAGCAATTTTTCACAGCTGTTAAATCAGGATTAGAACTGTGAACATCGAAATGTATGCATACAAATGTATCGAGAAACCATGTTTTGTGACAATTTCTTCAAGATCTCTGGTATACAATATGAACAGTAGTGGTCCTAAAATGGATCCTTGAGGTACACCAATATCCAGATAGCCTTCAGAAGATGTGACTTTTTTTACTTTAACCTTGAATGTGCGATTATTAAGGTAACATTGTAACCAGCTGAGTGCTAGTTCTGTAATACCATACGCATTCTTGAGTTTTGTAAGAAGGAGATTATGGTTTATGGTGTCGAAAGCAGCTGATAGAATTAAGAGTAGAAGCACAACATTCGATTTGCTATCAATCATCATTAGAATATCATTATGTATCTTGGTAACTGCAGTTTCACAACTATGGAATTTTGTATAGCCTGATTGATATGAGGAAAACAGGTTGTTGACATCAGCATATTCATTTAATTGGCAATGAACTACTTTTTCTAGTATTTTGGACAGATAGGTTAGATTGCTAATCGGTCGATAGTTTTTCAGCTCATCAACATCTAAGGTAGGTTTCTTGAGTCCAGGCCTAATAGATGCTTCTTTTAGGGCATATGGAAACTTTCCGACTCTTAGTGATTCATTCACGATGTAATGGATGATTGGGAGAAGCTCGGGTAAGCAGTTCTTGAAGAGCCAGCGCCACATTGGTATGACATCGAGTACGCTTGATTTATTGGGAAGACTTTTAATTAAGGTTTCAAGTTCTGATAATGAGAATTCCTTAAACTGATCAAGTCTACACTTTGCATTCTCTATCGAAGTAGAGTCTTTGGTACCTTGACCGTTTAGGGAAGTGTTTTGAGTTTCCTTCTCAATATTAGAGTAAATGGTTTTTACTTTTTTGTCGAAGAAAGTCTTGAGTTTGTCAGCCACTTCGATATCTTCACCATTTGGCAGTTTGTTGGAGCCATATTCTTTATCTAAAAGTTTATTTAGGTCCCTTTCGAGTCTCCTTTGCAAGAACTGAGCTGTTTATCATAGTAGCTATCCCTAGCTCGATTGATGGTGATTTCTGCGTCAACACACTTTTCAAAATGAGCAGTTATAAACTCATCATTCTCTGGATGCTTTTTGGCTTTTCGTTTTGCTCTTCTCCTCTCTCTGACAGCAATTTGACATTTTTTATCCCAAAAATCAGACTTTTCAGCAGTAAATCGTTTCGTAATAAGTGGGGCATGTTTGTCTAGCACCTGTTCAAGGACATTTTGATAAAGGTTCACAGCCTCGTCTAAGGATTGATATTCAGAAAGGTTAAGCTCTGAACAAAACAGATCTTCCCTGAACTTATCGATGTCAATTTTGCTTAGCTCATTGACAACTTTTTCTTCATTATATGTACGAGCTTTATGAAGATCGAATGTGACTGGGATCTGAAAACTTACTAGATAGTGATCAGAGCTGGTTCCAGTGCTTGTCTCTACCATCATATCTGTTACAGACAATGAGTCACTTACACAATCTAGAGTAAATAACAAGTCCAGTGTCCCGCCGGAGATGTGAGTAGGAGAGTCGACATGCTGAAGGAAGCCTTTGCTATCACAAAGAGCAATAAAGTTCTGGGCAACATTATTGTATATGGGGGGGGGGGGGGGGGAGCCAAGTGGATATTTGTAGATATTTGGATAATGTCATCCACTTTTTTCGTGAATTATCCATTGACAATAATCTACAAATATCTACATTTATCTACAAAAAATGTATATCTCAAATATGTGCCCAGAAATTCTACTGAATTTTTGGAGATAAATGTATAAATTTGTAGAATTTGTAGAATTTTCGTGAATTATCCATTGACAATAATCTACAAATATCTACATTTATCTACAAAAAATGTAATCTCAAATATGTGCCCAGAAATTCTACTGAACTTTTGGAGATAAATGTATAAATTTGTAGAATGTCATCCACTTTTTTCGTGGATTATCCATTCTACATTAATCTACAAATATCTACAAATATCCACTTGGCTCCCCCCCTATATGTCTTCAGCATGGAAATTAAAGTCACCACAAATAATTGGAGATCCAGTTTTAAGCAGGAGATCGTCCAGGTATGCATCAAAGTCATCCATAAACTTAGATATTTTTGTTTCTTCATATTTTGTTTTGGCCTGAGTGCTGCGATAAACTACACATAGCCTGATAATCTCACCAGCAGTTTTAATGACACATTCAAGTTTTAATGACACATTAAATACTTGAAAAAATAATCTATAATAGGTTATATAATTACCTCAGTGCTATGAACGTGATTTATGATCGACAATTTGGTTTTAGAAAACAACACTCAACATCTCATGCCGTAAACTATTCTGTCAATAAAATACTTAATGAGATTGAACAGAAAAATCATGTAATTGGAATATTTATTGATCTAAGTAAAGCATTTGACACAATTGAGCACGATAAACTCCTGCATAAACTTGAACACTATGGAGTAAGAGGTATTGCACTAAAAACTCTTGCTAGCTATCTAACAAACCGTAGCCAAGTAACTTCTTTTCAAACTGAAAAGTCGGACAAGTGTTCAGTTGAGTATGGTGTACCCCAGGGGTCAGTGTTAGGACCTCTACTATTTCTGATTTATATAAATGATATTGTGAGCTCCTCAAGCTTGGCTGAATTCGTCCTGTTTGCTGATGATACAAATATTTTTGTGATAGGTAGTTCAGCACAGGAAGCTTTTGAAAAAGCTAATCATGTAATGAAACAAGTCAGTAACTATATGGAGTCTAACAAGTTACATATAAATGCAGGGAAAAGTTGTTATATGCATTTTCAGCCAGGTTTGTCAAGAGCAACACAGACCTGTGCCAGAACACGGCCCTTTAACAGGAATCTAACGATTTTAATAGATGGCAAAAAGCTAGAAAAAGTTCAATGTACAAAGTTTCTTGGGGTGATAATAGACGAACAGCTAAGCTGGGAACCACATCTTAATCA